ACAGAAAGAAGAGATGGTACTCAGCAGAGAACATGAGCACAGAGTTGTAGCGGAGATAATTTGGCAGGCGAGACTGTAGTTGTTTTATTGTTCCGAACCCCGAAATTCCGGTACTCGGGCCATTACTCCGGAGACCCTCGGAACCTGCTGTGTTTTTGCTGCTTGTTTCTTGTTTTTGTTTTGTTGTTGAGATGAGACACAAGCGCGCCTTCGCCCCTTGTGCTCACTCTCATCTAGCACCCATCAAAGCCTGACCAGGGAGTCAGTTGATAAGAAAATCTATCTACATTTCTCTTTCCAGAGCTCGCTCGGGCCTACCGATCTCACAGCAGTGTAGACCAACCTCTGTGATAGAGCGGTGACAGCAGTGTAACCTCTGTGGTAGACTACAAAGTCTACGAGCTACAGCAGCACCGCCACCTCCGCTGCTGCAGGACGCCACATTCTGTGACGCTCTCCCAATTCCCATCCATGCCAAACGCCGAGATTCATCCACTGCCAGTCCTTTAAAATCTACCATCGCTGTTCGGCGTATCAGAGAGGGGAGCTTTGTTCTCCAGTGTCCCGCTCCGGAAACACCTTTGCTTGCTGTGTCTTCCATTTCTATCCCATCGTTATTCGAGGTCGAGCTTCTACGAGTCGAAACATCCAACATCGTCACAACAGCAGTTCTGCCACCGTCGTCCTCGATTTTTTTCAATTTTTCCACCAACGCCCTTTCAGGCTTAGACTACACCACCAGAAATTGGGGGTTTGTCTTCTTGATCTTGTTCATCTTTACTCTATGGCACTACCACGAAGAACGCTGTTACACACGTTCATCGAATGTTTGAAGGAATCAGTCGCTCGTGTGTGGTGTCTGGGGAAACATCTGAATGGGATGCTACATACAGTATAAACCTTAATTTTGTTCCACCCATGAGACCAATGGACGAGTGAAAAGTGTATTGAGGACGGCCTCCCTTGCGTTGTATCGTAATGGGTACACACAGGTCCTTGGTTGCGGGAGGAATCTAACTTTTTGATGCGATCTGGATATTAATTCCGGCTCGCACTGAAGTTAAGCATCCTTTGCAGGGCGACAAGCGCTTTCGTCTGCGAGCTATAGATAACATTTATATATCGACTTATACAGCAGTGTCGTGAGCGTGTGTGTGTGCTGCTCTTGAATACATCGTCCGATAGGTGGCTCCGGAAGCAGCTCCCGATCGTTCAGAAGTCGACATGTCATGCTACACGAGTGACACCCTCGCCGGTGTGCTCGAGACTGGCATCAAGGAGGTGGGTCCCGTCCTGAAACACTGCTAAACCTCACTTAGGTGCTGAGCCGCATTCATTCTTGGACGACATCGTACGTGACGGAAGGTAGGAAAGAAGGGGTCTGTCGTGCAGCACTAGACTTCTCAGAAGACGGCTATGATATTACAAACCTTGCGATCTCTCTGCCTCCTTGCTTTCATTGTTGCGTCGGCAGCGCTACCGCCTTCAAACCCAGGTTCAAAAACTGGGCCAGGAACTAGTTGACCTTGCTCAAGAGTCCGGTTGTTCCTGGAAGAAGAAAAATAAGAACAGAGGCCATGGCCATCGACATACTCCGATGCGAATAAACATTGTGACCAAGGGGCGGCCTTCTTATGGCCAGTCGTTGCGCATCCGAAAGAGCCACTTCGAAGGCACGTCCGCCTCCAGCAGAGTGGTATCTGACAACGGCGCTGGACGAAGTATTACCCGGGGGGGAGGCTCAGGCAGAGGCCGCTCTCCTTTTCGCGAGGCGCTCGACGAGGCAAAAGAGCAACTCGCTCATGTTTGGCGGCAACGCGAGCGGTCTGAAGGCGCGTTGCCGTGCAGGACCCGGCTATCTGTCCGTGATGAGTCTGCTAAAGTGTCGGTTTCTTACCAAGAAATTGAACACAATTCGGGCGATATCAGTTCAGGGGAAGAAAAAGGTTCTCCCCCGAAACACGTCGCCAATCGCTCGGGAAGTGAAGAATCGTACCACTCAGGCGAATATTCCACTCGCAAAAAAACTGGGCGCAAAAAAAAAACTGCGTATCTCGTGGAAGTGAAGGGGCCTAGACGAAAAGGTCGACCTGAGGAAAAGCGGCCCTTGCCACGCGGTACGCGGCCCAGCAGAAACAAAGAACATGGACACGATGAATTTCGCTGTACCTGGCGAGGAATGGATCTCAGTCAAGAATCTGGGTGCAAAGATGAAGGCTCGGGACGTTCGAATGGTCGACGAGTAGCAAGTCCGCGACGTGTGGAGACAGCCTGTGTCGAGGCCGCTCACGGAAGCTCTGCAGAAGAAGATGACGAGTTATGCCTCAAGTTTCAGATAAAGACTAAGGGCGACACGGCCAACAACACGGGCATCGTCAGTCGTAGAGGGAGGAAGCAAGGGACTGCAAGCTCATCGTTAGATCGACGGGTAAAAAGCACAGCAATCAGAAGCTCTAGGTCAGAGAGATCGGAGAAGAGTGCACCGAGGGCAAGCAGAGATTGTGCTCGTCCAAGGGCAAGTCTCGACCCGTGCAAATTTGAAGCTAATAGAGGGAGCAAGGAGAGCGTTCTAGACAACGGGTACCTGCACGCTCGACAGCGTGAGGGAATGGTCGGGGCATCTCTGAGGAGCTGTGGGGGCGAGGAACGAATTGGTGAAAAAGAGGAGGAAGGGAAACGACCGAGTTGCTTCGATAGCACCCACCATTTGAACGGGACTTGTACCTCAGATGTAAAGGACGAAGAAGAGGGATGCTTCGCCCCCCAAACGAGGCGCGGTGACTGCGATTACCATAGGAAGTGGAATCGTGACCACAACGAGAGGATCACAGCGAAAGAGGACGATGTAAATGAGGAGAATCAGCAGCGCGAGCGGTGGAGCACCAGGGGACGGGTGTTGTGGGCTACACACGCAGAGCCTGCAGCGCGAGCGACTTGCACCGACTCTAGAATATACCCTCGAGCGACGATGCAATCGTGTTCGCAGCCTGTTCTTCGGCCGTACCATGGTCTTTACGCGAGGTCTCTTCAGGCCAACGGCATCGAGCCTGCCAAAATACGGTCGTCAAGGTGCTCCTGCCATACTACCGACAACAGACAGATTGATGGCTCAGTCCTTTGGCCTGATCGGGAGAACGCGGCGCGGACTCGGTCACCGGTCGACGGCCTTCCCGACAGGCTCGAAGCAGGTCGTGTGTTGGACTCGTTCGAACGAAGAGCAGAGCTACTGGGAAAGATGCCGCCTACAACGCTGCGCGCCAAGACCGCTTGGATGGAAAAACCGGGCGACCCCCAGTACAGGTGTGTCTACGGGACAACGGCGGCGAGGAGAGATGTACGTGCATGCCGTGACGCTGGCGTCCATATTGTATTGTATTCTTCGCTGTGTAGAAGTGTGCATCTCACAAGGAGTGTTTGACCACTGCTCAAACGATATGATACCTGATGGTCGACGTCTTGAGATCATAGATTAGAAAAACAGAGTTGTCGCCGGTTGAATGTGTTCTCGCACACATCTAGACCCCGGAGGAAGACGAGCATGTCGGCTTTATTCGCACTAAACTACATTACCACTCCCGTATCCGCCGTGGCCTTATAGCTATGTTCGTTCCCGTTCTAACCTTTCTTCGCCTATTTTGCGCAACAAAGTCTACGGGAGAGCCGAGACGGACTGCTTTCCTCGTTCTGCGGGACTTTCCCTGACCGGCGGTTCGCAATGTACGCGTCATGCGCCGGGAAAGCCTATGTCCGCCACTCAAAGGCAGAGGCGACGCCCTTACTGGCCGCATCATCAGGCGCCTGGGGCAAGCCGTTCGGGCGAAGTCCGATAAAGGACTCTGTTGGGGCGAGAAGAGAACTTCATGAGGAGGTGCCTCTCTTTCATCGACGGAAAGTGGCCGACACTGGGGGTACGTCCTTGGCCAAGTCTTCCCCTTGCAACTGCCAAGTAACGAGGGGGTTGCTCACAGGGGATACATCCAAGCCTCCAAACGCAACCCCTGGGCGCTGAATCTTGCGGGTACACCGCGAGTATCGATACTGGATGTAGTGCGTCATGTAGGGGGGATTACATCCCATCTGCTAGGGGATCGGCACGTTTCATCGGTCGTCCTGCGATTTGATGAGCTGTGGTGCCAGGCGATGAAAGGAGTTGTCTACAAAGCTCTCCACGGAAGCCACGAGCGACATGTAGGAAAATCGCCGAACAACCGAACGAAAATGGTCAGTACTATCGATATGTTGGGGTGGAGCGAACGGGACGGGGGGGGCGCCATGTGCTGCATTAGTGTCGTAAGTTGAAGCCGAGATACCGGGGTTGTGATTCGCATGACCCATCCATCCCCTAAAAAACGTGTTCGATTTTTTTCCACGCTTCGCAACACAGCTCGACTCTGCACATTGGACAATTATAATGCTAGATACCTGGTTCATGTTTTGAGTCAGACGAAACGAAGGCGTCAGGTTTCGTTTGGACGACAGACTCCGCTCATGCAAACTTCTTGTGTTGCGTGAGACAACACACCACAAGCGTTTGCAAAAAAACATTTTTGTAACCTTTCAGAACACCGAAAAACATTTTTGAGAACCAAAAGTGTAGCTCGTACTGTCTCAGTCGCAACTTCCTCAGACTTCATCGAGCCTCTTTCACCGCCATTTCACTCAAGCGCAACAGACAACCAGCAAAACACGGACGCACTCGTGTCAACGTATGACTTGTCTGCCCACCTCCTAGATAAAACGGATTGGGCCGCAAGAGCAAATAAATGTAAACGTTAAGTACACAGCTGGACTTTCATAAAACGTCGGGGTACTCCTACTGAAGGACTCGCAACGACCGAAACAAAAAAATATACAGCAGGCAGAAGCAAAGTCCACGAATCTACTTAGTACGTGCTCCAACAACCTGAGCCCAGCATCACCAAAAACCCCACGAGCAACATCGATGTTGCCGACAGCAAAAACGCCGACGAGATTCGATGGTGCCTACAAGAAGTAGACTTTTAAGTACAACGAAATCGAACAGCAAATATGATGATACCAGCGGGGCGAGAAACAACTGCTCTTAGCGAAAGCAGGCACTCTTCTCTGACAATCTCGCCCCTGGCCTTTACCGCAGTCCCGAAATATCGTACAATACGTACCTTCAGCAGCATCCTCTGCGAGATTCATAATCGCAACAAATATTTACTCTCTTGAGTCGACCATATCCCCATCCGAAACCAAAACGCTGACGCGTCCACGTCATACCTGGTGGGTCAGAGGCGGAAACATTGCGACGAAAAAACAACAAGCCGATGAAAGTGACTCCGCAGCATGCAGCAGGAAATAACGTTCGAAAACAACCAGTTAAGAACCAAAGCCCAAGGAACGAACACAGGCTTGAGTCGCCCTAAACACACGCACCGTCCCCAGAAAAGTCGTGCAGTCAACGCCCTATGTCACTGGCACCACAGCAGGCTCAACCGCCGCCCCCTGGGCTGAACCGTAGTCCACAACGCCATCGGCCAGCACCACCCCACCCTACCTTACCCTCTGAATTTTTGTCGATAGGCTGCGGGCTCTCGCCCGTTGTCATCCGACCAAGATATACAGCATTGCGGAGATTCCATACGCTAGAATCAGCATCAGACATTGCCCCCCCTCGCTTCTCGCGGTGTTTCGGCTTCGCTCCCTTCGGCCAAGCAACCCACAACCGAGCTCGCGTGGAAGGATCCTGACACGCGCAATAAAACTCATCATCACCATGAGGTGCCGCAAATAGCAACCTCCTACCAAAAATTACGTGGCCAAAAACAAGTGATACTCAATCCACCGGAATGACCACGTTGTTGTGCAGCAGCAGCAGCAGCAGCAGCAGCAGCAGCAGCAGCAGCAGCAGTGTGAAGGGTAGAAAACAGGTCAACCTTGTCGCCATGCTGAAGCTAACATTTGACTCAGCGCCCCACATGGTACAGAAGCTGGCAGGCATGAAAAGATCAAGCGCTGCGCGCACGGGTACCGGCCTTCGACGAGATGAAAGATTAGTCACAAATTCTTCCAACCGCCAACCCGGTGGACCACGCGAAAATTACTCAGTCACGTTGTCCTCAAACGCCCTCTCGCAACTCTGCGTCACAGCTACGAACAAGACACACTTCTAACACCCAGACAAACATTACCATTTGCCTTGGTGGACTCGAGGATCCGACTGCTACAATTAAGACAAAAAGAAGGGAAAATGATGCGTTACAAGACGCGCCTTCCCACACAAGAAACGACGGACAAATCGACAAGACAAAACACAGGAGCGCTGTATTCGGCAGCTGCTCCCAACACCCAAACGTTGCGTGCAATAACGCCACACCAACACACGTCACGGGAAGGAGGAGGGAGCAGCCACGACGACGCTCCAGGACCTCCAAATGATAACCCAAGTCGGAGGCGGCTGATGGCCTACCGCGTCGGTACAACAGTTTACTACGTGCACCACTCGACAAATCAGATACCAGGGGGGCGCATCAATCAAAATCGAAGGATTCCTAAAAGGATACGACCATGGGAAACGCGCACGAAGCTCGTCGATCTTCTGCACACACAGCAAGCGAAATGTGCACAAAATATGAACCAGTCTCTATTGCGCTTCGGTTTCCTGACCCTGGAACCTTCCCCTCGGAACCGAGAAAAAGACGTACTTGTACCCTACTGCCAAATACTAAACTATACGCCTGCTCGCTCGTCCGTATGCCACCCCAGGGAGACATGAAGGTGTTGGAGGTAACGGAGAGACAGAACAAGATCACATCAAAGCAAAGGACTGCGACATCGCTCTCCACAGAGCACCTCAAGAGAGAAAAACAAATAGGTCATCAACACCAACACTGCCTCGTCATCACGAATTTGTATAGATGCCAAGTGCGCTTCAGAATGAGCCTCCCTTCGTCACAACTCCTCCCCACGTACTTCATTCCTTCCCCTTCCTCCCTTCGTTTCGTAAACAAGCACGGTTACAAGGAATCATTTCAAAGACAAGTCTGTGACATGTTGGACGCCAACGCAACGACATCCCACAGGCCACAGCCCGAATCCCACATCCATCACTCCCTGAGGTGCAGGAACAGCACGAGTTGAATCAACTCCTCTCTGACTTCCGATATCTCCCTCAGCGTTGGTCTAGGTGGGAGGTCGCTTTTGCCGCTGCCGAACACTTTGGGCAGCAGGGCCAGTTTGGGTCGATGCTTTCTTGCCTCCATCTCCAATTGAGCCATCTCTCGAACCTTCGCGTTGACGCACCCCCTAAGGGACGACAGGATCGTATTCGCACGCATACGCGAGGGGAATGTTGTCTTAGGTGGGTTCATGCCAACTAAGAGCAGTTAAGAGCGGTGAGGTGAGTTCGTTCGACGCAACGAATTCGCGGTACGTCATGGTACGACATCAGGCAGCATCCATCAACATTATCCATGAGCCGATGGCCTCGACCTTGGTCAAGTGTTGGGCGGGGGCGAGCCCCCCCACACTATCAAATTCAAATCCCCGCTACGGTATGCGTAGTCTGTATTCAAGAGACTGTTGAGAAACGTTCATTTTCACATTACAATAGCTCAAAAACTTTGTCCTCGTAATGGCGGTTAAACCCTGAGGGGCACATCACGGCGGGTTTGTTCCAAATAAAATCTGCATACTCGTTTGCGTTGCTTCGGGCTGGCCGAGTTCCCGTGTCCTGACGACAATTTTCTCCGGCGCCTAGAGGAGACTTACGACAACAAAAGTGATCTTGTACGTGTATGTGAGCGGTCTGTGTCTGTCAGTCGCCCCGCTGTCAATCACACACCAACACCAGCGTGAGTAATCCGACACATCTAAAAAGAACGAACCACAAAAAACTGCTGAGTTTTGTGTCTTTCTTTGACTTGATGAGGGGAACAGCTGAAAGACATTGTTCGAGAATGAAGAGTAGGGCCATCAGAGGCGTAGGGGTGTACGCGTAACATCTTTTTTGGCAGCGTACATAGCGTCTCGAAGAAATTACAACGCGGAATATTCGTGAATGGCTCCATCCGCTAGAAGACTATGCAAAGAGACGGCCCATTGTCTTTACGCTGGAGGGTCCCTGGAACCAAACCTCGCGGGCACCACTGCTGTTCATGTGTTGATGTCCATGTGTGTCGTTCTCCGAGTGTCAATCGTGTGTACAACGCCGTGTGCCTGAACCAAAAAGTGGGGCTGGCAGCACACACATGGTCTCCGTTGGAAGCGACGCGCTGCAAAGCTCGTTGTTAGTAAACTTGATCGACTTCGTAAGTCGCGAGGGAAGGGATTGCTGTACCATTCTCGCGATAAAAATATCTTAGGCAGAAACCGCAGGAGTGGGTCCAACCCCCCCCTCCTATGTGACCCCGGTTGCGTCGTCTAGCTGGTAGAAGTGGAGGATAGGGGCCAGAAGGGCAGACGACAGAATCCAATGATGGGAGAAAAAAAAAACATCACAACCTACAGAGAAAAGAGTTTCACTCGTTCCGTGCATGACAGTACCTTGCCACGTACTCGATGAATCAGCGTCCAACGACGGGTTGGGCTGTGTTGTATGTTCAGATTCGGGGTTCGCATTGGCCATGCTCTCTCTGCACGGACGCGACGGAGCTGGCGGTCGACCTCGCTAATAGGCAGGTTCATACCAGCACTAACATGCGCGTTTCATTATAGGGGATATACAAAACAGTGAAAGAAAGATTACCCGTTCGACAAAAATACCACAGCAGTCGAAGAGGATGGGTTGAAGTCTTCACAGTGAATGTCTTTCTGTGCCCGCTGGCGAGAAGACGTAGGAGAGAGTGCCGAGCGGGAACGGTCAGGACAGCGACGGGCGTGCGCTCGCCGCAGGAACCAGGTCGAGCGAGAGTCAAAAGGGGGCCGAGGGATCGACAGAGGCAGGCTCCAAAACGAACGACCTCTATAAGTGCTGTATTGCAGTAGCGTCACGAACGACCTGGTGCGGCGATCTATGTTCGCAGCACAGAAACACTGTTCACATTTTTTTGTAGAAACTAAACACACACAAACACGATGCAAAAGCCAGGATCCGCCCTCGAAGATCGAGCTGCAAGTAAGGCAAATCACTATGCGGGAACTTTCAACCCGTCTAGATCTACCCTCCGTACTGCTGCTTTTTCAACGACTGGTGGTCTTGGCAAAGGCACCAATCAACTCATCGTTGCTATCGCCAACCACTTGGCGCACGAAGCTTTTTGCCGGGGGAATTTTGACGACGAAATAGCCTTAGTCGCCTGAATGATTTTCATACTAACAGGATTCGAAGACGGTTTACCTTCGAGCTAGCTCGTTTTCTGTCGAACTCGCGATATGTTCAAACGTCATGGGCTACTGATCGACCAACTTCCACCAGGGCCAATCGGTTGGGATCTCTGCAACGATAGTTATGAGGGTGAAATTGTTTTGGGAGTCACGGAGACGAAGGAAAGGGAAAGGGAAGAAAGGAGGACGAAGACGACGATGGAGGAGGAAAACATGGAGGAGTGGAAGAGAGCAAAAGGTTTGAGCCAGGTGACCTTCCCAAAAAGAAAAACGGAGGACTGGGGAAGAACTGCCCAGAGATTCTTGTCAAAATGAGGATCATGATGGTGGCGAAAACAAGGAGGATAATGATGAAAGTACTCCAAAACGAACTCGAGTACAAGGCAATAATAGCCTTGGTAGACGCGTGCAGTTTTCTTCTGTTGCTGCTGTTTCTTCTTTGATCCGAAGGATAGTTAAGCCTCCCCCATGCTGCCCCCTCACGGGGTCCCAGTTCATGGCAGATGAAAGTGTTTTGTGTTTTCAACCGCACTGATACTGACGTCTTTTGATTGGTCAGCCGGCTAGCGCGGTCGATGCAAATAATAGAAACACAAACACAGAGAGTCTACCCGTTCGAGACATGACCACACGAGTCGAATTTATGCCTATTGCAAATACCGGTAAATACATCATTGTATGCACAGCCCGACGTGGAACACGAACGGGAACTCAGTACTCAGTCGTTGTTGGTATGCATACCTGGTACTTTACGAAGTACGAAAAATAGTTAAAATTATCCGAATGCCTACAACATTCTAAAAACTTTGAGCTTGGGATGTTCTGAGTGACACCATCATGCATCCCAAGCATACCGCGGTTCCATCAACTTGGACACAACCAGACACGCCCAGGGGAGTCCTGCAGTAAGGCGCCAACACTTCTTGGCCCAATAGACATGTGTAAACCCGCCCTCCTGTAGATATCTAAGCATAGCACGAGTGCACTCTTTTCATCTTTATACCACAGGACGCAAAGATACAACCTGCGCTGTCTAACAACTAGAGGGCTCGCATGGTGGAGTACTTAGTCGACAGCAGTAGGAATCCTGTGTGACTCATGCCTCGTCAAGGCTTATTTGTATGTACAGATGCATACGCAAGCTCCGGACAAGGGTGTCCGCGTGTATGGGAAAGTCCTGCACACAAGGCACGCAAGAATAGCACGCATGTTCACATGTCCATATTGAGCAAGATCAATTCTCACCGGCCGCCTCGGATCAGAAAGTCCCGAATCCACGTGCGCGACGCCGCTCCCACCATTTGTCGGATCGACTTGAGCTCCGCCAGAGGCGGCAACCCTGTGGTTCGGAGTAGAACAATGGCTTGCTCAGGTGTTGTGGGCTTAAGCTCGGAGTTCTCTTTGTCGTTCCCGGGCGAGAGCGGCGGAGTCCATTTGAATCCGCCACAACTGGGCGCTCGTTGGAGTCGCTTTTGCTGGTTTGTTGACGTCCCTTGTGAGAGTCGGTTGTTCTGGCGTTGGGGCGCATCATATGATCCAACAAACAGCAGCAGAGAACGAGAACGAGCCAGAGAAGCGGGGAGGGGAGTCTTATGAGCTGCTTTGGAGGTCAGGGCGGTGGCAAAGGGGAGAAAGGTTCAAATCAAGCGAACAGAAGGGCGGCTAAGCCGGAATGGAAGGGATGGCGGGTGGTGGTACAGATATGTATGTACACATGCATACCGTGTCAGAAGGAGCAGCAGGTGCTTCAGATATGAAACACTTGAACTTCGATCGCACGACAGCACGGCCCTACAATATAACATAACACCGCAGGGTTGTACAAACAAATCGAAATCTTCGGCCTACTGGGTTTAAGACTTTCCACGTGCGCGTGAGTTTACACATAACCCCATTACCAATCACATGTTCACCTTCCATTTACCCAGATGCATCGCGCGTGAAGTTGTGAAGTGGAATGAGGCAGCCTTGTAAAAGTTATCCCGCCTCGGGTGCAGTGAAGCTGCATGTACGCCGCAGCAGGTGCACGCTGTAGACTATAGCCAGGACTCTTGCTACTGCTGCGCTACAATTTCCTAAAGCTCCCCTTCTATGCGCCAAAGAAAACTCTCTCCTTGTAGTCGGACTACACCGTGCAATTGCAGACCCACCTGGAAGGCGCCCAGAGATGCCGGAGATGATGTTACCCGCCCATTGCTTGCGAATGCAAGGAATGAACGACGACGGTGGGGCCGCTTTTTCGTGGACAAGTCGACTGCCTTCGACAGGAGTTGCTCCATGCGTGGTCGGAAGGACTGCGGTCGCAGATAGAGAGGGAGAGAGAGAGGGAGAATACGGCACCTTTGGTCGTCGACCGCCTGATTTAGGTGAGGTAGGTCCGTCAAGAGATTCCAAAACCCCAAGTAGCACGACCCAAACCAAGATTTATCTGCATCTGCGTGCCTGCGTCTGCATCTGGGGGAGATCAGTTTTTTTTCATTCGTAAGGGTCGCCGCAAATCGGATAATCCACGACTCCTCTCCCCCCCAATTTGAGAGATCCCGTGCTTGAGCCAGCCAGCTCCAGCCCGAGCAGAGGACAGGACAGAGGCAGGAAGGAACACAGTAGTGGAGGCGAGAGACAGAGATCATGGGCAGAAAAGCTAGAGGTGCAGCAAAGGAGAAGCGTGAACCTGCCCACAAAATTGATGGGGATGGGATGGAGCTCACCGCAGAGGACGGCCAGACCACCGGCGGTGAGCTAGCGCAAAAGGCTGCTGTCGTCGTGACCTGTACTCCGTAGAATGCTGTGATGTAGACACTTCTTCCGTCTCATTTTAATTCGCTGTGCTGCTGCAGCAGCGTTGGCTTCTTCGTTCGGCCACAATAGAACAAAGGGTAGGGAGAGAACAGATGACTCCTCGTGTGCCTCAATGCACCAGTCACCAACTGTTGAGGGTGGGAACGTCTGCAATGATGTTGGCGTAGTGCGCGGCACTAGTTTTTGTTCGCATGCGTAAATACTCCGTCTCGACACGACGACCGAGAGAGATGTTCCACTTTGCCAGCACGCTTTTTCCCGCAGGCATGGATGTGTGTAAGCACTCTTGCTCTTACGGATATCCAGCGAGGTAGCGGTTGGTGTGAAGTGAGGTCCAATCTACTGCGATATTCTAGGCGGCGTCCTTTCCTAACCTAAAGAGTATGGACAGCAGAAAGTCACGGATAAAAGGTCTCAACACGATTTGAATGGATTGTTCCTCATGCTGGATCACTCGTTGTGAAACAGCAGCCAGACAACAGCAGGAGACAACAATCAGCCGCCTTCGTTTCCTAGTCTAACGAGAAGCATCAATCCGACCGCGGGCAAAAGGCTGTTAAGTTGAGCGGCATCCAGGTGGCAATGACGCCGGTTTTCCTTCAAATTGCAGGTTGCTGTGTCTGGTTGCGAGTTTGGGGCGAATGCTTTATCCGCGGCCGGCCAGCCCATCCCCAAAAAAAAAGAAATGGCTGCCGCTACTGCTGTAGACACCCAGGCTACCGCTGTTGGGATGCTGCCCAGCAGTAGCGAAGGTCGTGATGCCGATTCTCGAACAATAAGGGCATCGGTTTGCTTTTGTTTCATTAAGGACCACTCAAGTTTCGACAGCATCGTTTGTCATCTCGTTAATCTTTCTGCGTGGGAGCTGAACCGCACGAGTCACATGTGTCATACGTTGGATGAACAACAACGAAGGCCGGCAGTTCCTTGCTGGGTTCATACGCACACAGAGTACAGTGCACGTCTCCGTTCGGCAGGTTCTACACGACACCTCATTATTTGGATAGCGTTTACAGCGGTGTTCGTGGGGGGAAGTAGGTTGATTTGCATGAATCGACAGACGCCGTCGTGTTGTGTGGTGACGATGACCCAGGACAGGATGCCTAGCAAAGGCACGGGACGATGACCCACCTCCTTGTTTCGTCAAAGTTGATGCTCTAAAGCAGCGAGAATGGCCGGCGAGGAAAAAACAGGCCGCTCTTCCGAGGCGGTCGCAACAATGGCTGCTGCTAGTCTGCCAACTGAGCGACACAATACCTTTGTTGCTGCTGGGTGTAATTGTTCGCGGGCATGGACCACTGCTGTCCGTCTCGTCCTATGTATCAGCAGGCGTGACCTTTCTCATGAACTGGCCCTATTCTGCTTGAACTGCTGTGTTGGGGAGACAGTTTCTCTCTCTTAAGATTTGAATCGTTTGCATTGCTGTGCATTGATGAGTACCATCTTATTGTCTGCGCAGGCGCTGTCTAGTCGATTCACGTGGCGCGAAACGGTGGACCTCTCACGCAGCAGCACACAACTCTCACCTTATGCAGCAGGATATGGGAGGTTCCACCAGTGCAGAAACGTACCGGTATTGTAGTCACTTGGGGGGAATTTCAGGAGCATACATCGCGGACCTCTCGGGGTTGTACCACTGCTGTCTCGCTTGAGTTATCAGCACCAACCTGATTGAAACCGTTCGGTATCTGCATACTCCATGTTCAACCTCCGATTCCCTCCCCACACGCCCTTCCTCTTCGCACCCGAATACGCGCTGCTCTAGGCACGCTCCCTTCAACCACGGCCGCCATCGTAGTGGATGCCGAAGGCCACTCAGCGCCAGAGGCGCCGGTTGCATCGGCCGAATATGATGCCAAAGGCCGGCCGTATCTCGAGTCCGAGAAATGGCAGAAAATGGGAGGGACGGGGGATGACACGCCGGGAATATTCGCCCGGATTTTCTCGGGGTTGTACGGCGATCTTCCCATGTCCGACCGACTCCGTGTGGCGTGGCTGGCGGGCACGCTTTTCTTCATCATCGGAGGGTGAGCGAGCGGATTTCCAGTATGCTGCAGCGGGGTTTAGGTACTGGTTTTTTCTTGTTGGCGTTGTTGCTGCTTGCTGGGTTGGTCGGCATGCTTGGACGGCTTGGTGCCGACGGACATGCTGCTCCTATGGGAGCTGATAAGGCTCCCGCTGCAGCGTTTGAGCTTGTGTGATTTGAAGCGAGTAAATTATTTTTTATTACATTCATCTCAATGCCCTTTGACCCCTTTCCGCCGTCGTCAACTTGTTGCCGTTAGGTACTGGCTGCTGCGATCGTTAAAGGACCCCATTGTTGCTGCCACTGTTGGCGTCGACTTCATCCCGAGGTGCAAGATGCTCTCCCTCGTGGTGGTCTTTTCCCTGGTACGGTACGGTATGGTGGGGTGTTGCACGGTGTGGTACGGTACTTCGAGAGTTGGGAGACAGACAAGACATATGAAAACATGGAGTACGAACACCGCGTTGTGTTGAAAACCTTCTGCCATTACAGTTGTGGATGTGGGGTCCACTGTCGCGAGGCCATGTTTGTTTTTGCGGCTCTACTCGTGAGGTACCAGTAGACTCCAGGGCAGGTGGTCGATGAATTATACTGCTTGCAACACGTTGAGGCTTTTACGTTCCTCCCTGACCGTCCACTAACGTGGTCCTGTTCTTTTTGGCAAGGCGCCCATGGGCAAACAAGCCGTAGCGTAAATGATTGGCCAAGACTTTTGGCCCGCGTTCAGTTCCCCGCCCAATTTCCTGCTTGCTGCACGCTGCCCTTCCATTCTGTAAGCACGCGGTACCACGGAGAACATCTGCGTTTACGACATTCGAATGGATCGAACTCGCTTGCGTAGTGATGCCACTTCTGTCCGGCTGTCTCAACCTCATTGCCGGCGTTACCGGAATGCATGCGACGGGCCGCCGAACAGGTCTTCGTGTACAACAAGTTGGTTGATATCTTCCCGAAGCACCAGTTGTTCTACATCATTGGAGCCTTCTACTTCGCTACCTTTTCGGCCATCGCGATCGCCCTCGCCGACCCCGTCATCGGAGTACAGAACGAAAACACCAGCCCAACACGCCTTATCGGTAGGCAACAACATTGTCCTTGTCTACATGCGTGTGGTTCGGTTTCGCGTAACCGTTGTTTCACCGTTCTGGGCACTTGGTTCCATGCCCACGACATACGGTGTCTTTGCCGACAGCGCAATGCCGGAAGTTGGAAGTATTGACTGATGTTGTGTTTGTGGATCTCTGTTTCTCGTGCACACACAAATATGCGAGATTTGATTTGATTTTCACCGCGGAGCATGGGGCAATTTTTTAAGTGCCATGTAAAGAACATGGCCGTTGCCTTCGATACGAGACAATGCGGCCGATAAAAGGCAAATGATACGGAGTACCTATATATACGACGCATTCGCAGTAGTTTTTTTATACCATCGGTTTTGTCAATGCTGGGATCACCAGGTTGCCGTACCGCACCAGTAGTAACTCCCTATTCTCGTGTGCTTTTCGGGAGCTGCTGGTTGTCTGAGAGCCGAAGCAGCGAGCAACACCCCACCAAGACGGAATTTTGATGGCATCCCGATGGTGTGACGTGCACGCGTAGTGCGGTTGCGATAGTTGCGAATGACGACGCAGCGAGTAACCGCCGTTCTGGTTGTTTTTCTTCCTTGTCATGCGGTCGCTCTCGTCCACCCCCCTCGGTGTTGCCAACACTCGTTCCAGGCTGGGTATCGTATTGCGCGATCGAATCCTTCGGCAGTATCTGCGTTTCCCTTTTCTGGGCCTTCGTTAACTCGTCGGTGAACGTTGAAACGGCAAAGTCGGCCTTCGGCTTGATTATCGCTGGGGCGAACCTTGGGTCAATCATGGGCCCTACTCTAGCGGTCACGAAGGCGAGAGGTTTCTTGGATTGGACTGCAAGAGAGGACAATACAAGAAGACAAGTACAAGTACTTACTTGGTCGTGTCTTCATGCGTGGGTTGATTGTTGCCACAGAGGTATGGTGGCGCATGGTTGTTGCGCCAGTTATTTGGGGCCATGGGTCCTGCGGGGGGGGGGGGGTTG